AGTATTAATATTAATGCCAATTTACAAATTGTAAGTTTGGGGCAGATGATGAAGCTCCATGCTGAGGCTGCAGAGCCATGGCTACAACAGCTCTCTGCTGATACAAAGTGGAAGGTAAAGCTCTCCTCTGGTGGTTTTTTTGTTTTTTTTTCCTCTGGTTGCCTCTTATCTTGTTAAAGCCTTGGCACTTCTCAGACTTTTCAGTGCTCCCATTTGGCTTGATAACCTGATAGAAAATGACCCCTTTTTGTCTGTTACTATGTTTTCTGCTGATAGTGAGGCAGAAGTGGTGCACAAGAAGGGCTGATGGATGACAGACCTGGCAAAAAGTAACTCGCTCAGAAGGTGAAGAATGGGGGATCTTTCCTCTGACTACTCCCTTTGTGTGGCAGCAAACTATTCCTCTGCCTTGCCATACTGCATAAAATCATAACCTAAGGACAGAACTGTGCCCTCTCGTGAAGGAGTGTGTTTTCTTAGCAATTAGCAACTTGTTTATTGGAAGTTAAAACCAAGGTTTTGTCATTACCAGTGTCTGTTCACAACAGGGAGGGATACTGGCTATGCCTAGCCACGTCTGTTTAGCACTAGCATTTCCAAAATGCAGGAGATCATCTAGTAGAAAAAAAAAGATAGGATAAATATCTTCATTAGGATACTCTCATGAAAGTCCTAAAGAAAAAACCCCCGAATTTGAATGAGAAAACTCCTAAGTATTCAGTTTATAATCTTAATCATTTTCCCGTGAACTCAAATCTTGGGCTAAAATGTCTAGGAACTAAACCTTTACTGGTTAGAAATGCTTCAATCAGCAGCTGCTACAAAGAAAGATCTGTCGAAATTAAATCATAAGTAGAAAATAACCATGGATTACTTTTATTTCTATTCTGCTGCACTACAACGCATTTGGATTGTGAAAAATGGTTCCCTCACGACTTCCTAGTGTGAAGGGACATGTAAAACCAACATCGAGCACCAGTGCATACTTCTCCTATAGATGAGGTGAACCATCCCCTGCCCAGATAAAATCCTAACTTGGCCAAAAGCTATTTTGTGTCCTTGTTTTGTAAGGACTGCACAACCCAGGGGCAAGGCTGGACTAAACAGAGCCCTACTCGTGGAGGCCAGCGCTTCCGAAGGGCTCCAGCAGACCTTTCCAGGGCTCTCTTAGTGCCCAGATTGTGGAACAAATGCACACGGGATTAGTGAGAAACTACACCGGCCACCTGCTTTGAGCAGATAGTAACTGCAAAGCAAATAAAAATCCCTGCGCGTGCTCTTTTCCCCCATTACGAATAACAGAGAAAACAAATCCTGCATGACGGATGCCAGATATGCCACTTGCCGCCTTGCCGGCAAGCACTCCTGCCCCGCAGTGGGGAGGGCAGTACCAATAATACATATGTAATAAAGTATTTTGCAGGAAGGACACCAGGAGTTACGGCACAGAGCACAAGGACACAGTTAATTTATGACTCGGGGAGAGCGGCTGCCCTTGGCGCTGCCTCCTTGCTCCTCGCCTGCGGGGCACAGGCAGCAAGTCGGACCTCCCAGTCGAGCGATCTTAGTCCCCCATCGAAACTCCTGACCCGCCCATTTGGTTAATGCCACGACTCAACCTCAGTCCGCAGCACAACCCCGAAGCCCCTCTGAGGGAACCACCCCCCCCCGGCCATGGCGCCGCCGCCCGCCCCTTCCCGGCCCTTCCCGGCCCCTTCCGCCCGGCGGCTCCGCCTCGGCCCCGGCACACTCGGTAGGTGCGACCGCGGCGTGGGGAGGGTGGGTGTTTCTCCTCCGCGGGGCCTCGGGATTCTACAGCCGATTTCAGCCGCCCCTCTCGTCTATATTTTTATTTTTCGTGACATCCCCAGCCCTGGAGGCGCCCTGTGTCCTGAGTGATAGTGTTTTAAGCTGGGCTTTCCCCTCGGCTAACGTGTGGTTATAAAACAATAAATGCCATGATAACGCACACGCGTTATGGCAAAACATGCTTAGCTATCCCCGGTTTAAGCTGTAGCTATTACAGTTCAGTGAGAATTTAAGTGCCCATAACACCACAGAGATAAATAATACTTCAGCAGTTGGGAGAGGATGCCTTGTAAACGTTGTGGTGGCTTCATGGGAACTAAATGATTAAATTTGCAGGATATGGACCGTATAAATTGCCTTGTAGTTTCCGGTTGCCTCCTCATACATAAATAGCACAAAGTTTATGAATAAAAATAAAGCTGCCATATACAGTTAGGGCTGCAGTGGGATTTCTTCAGGAGCTGAGCGGCTGCACTGACCCTCAGGGAAGGTTTGAAAGCACAAATGCTATAAGGTATCGAGGGCAATTTTCCTTCTATTTTCCTGAGTATTGACTTTTATGAGAAAACAAATACTGTCTGGCATTTCCTGCTTACTCTTGCATTAGGTGTGTGGCAGGACTGTTAGGCATTATCCGGTCAAGCACATAGCCTGGCCTTCAAGGGGTCTATCCACAAAGGTTCGAAACCATGCCTGCACAAAAGATAATTTAATTACAAAATAATAAAAAAAGATACTTAGCAACTGTTACAATTTTTATGACTGAAGCAGGAAAATAGTGTTAATGCATTGAGGTTTATCCTGCCATTATGGCTGTTTAGGAGAAGTGTATAGATAAGCACAGGGTTTCCTGCCCTGCTTTCCTGTGGTTCACCTGTGGGCTGCCCGCCTGTCCAGATGTGTTTCCCAGCATCCCGTTGAAGAGTATTCAGTGACCCGTGTGCTTGGCAAGCACCATTTGGTCATGCAAGAAAGGAGAGTAGAGTTTTCACTGTGGTCTGTCCTTCCTCACGCTGGTTTGGACGTAAGCTGAGGGGCGAATTTTCTCCTTGAAGCATTCTTAATCTTAAAAGGATGTTGGCCGGCTTTAATGAGAGGACACTCTAACAGCAGAAACTTGGAAAGTGCTTGCTCCAGCTTCACATGCGGATCAAGTGATAGTCTCCCTACAGTCATCCTCGTAGAAGTGCTGCCCTCCCCCACTGTAAATGGCATGACCTTTTAAAACAGATCTAGACTACAAGGTTTGTCAAAGAGATCATAAAATTTCAGAGAGGTCATTTGGGTTTAGTATTACCATTTTCTGGTTTTTAGCTCTCTTATCAAGGAGACTTTCTCCTGAAATTGGGTTTCATCCAAGCTCTTGGCTCTTTAGCATGTTTTTCTTAAATAATATTGTCAAACAAATCACCACCTCCAGTCTTCAGCTGAATGTAAGAATACCACCAGTTATTACACTAAGAAATACATATTAAATTATTGTATGCTTACATACATCATTGTTTTTATTAAGCACTCAGTTTGTATTCAGTGCAGCATAAACATTAAATAAGATTATTTTTCCCCTGGTGAGTTTACAGTCTGAAAGATCTTTATAGGAAGGAGTAGTAATAACCCATCATTAAAACACCACCTTTAAATTAATCCCTTTTTGTTTCCCTGTGGTTAATACTCATTTGCTGTTGATCATGACTGGTGTATCCTGGCATCTCATATAGTGCTGTTTGATGATGTTACAGACCCCAGTTGTCCACTCTACCGCTCTGTGAGACATTCTTGTTCAGTGTGAGTGGAAGAAGAGAGCATATGTCTCTGTTTCAGCTGCTGCTGTACGAAGCCCAGCAGCATAGCTGAAACCCACCTTTGATGGTACTCCACAGTAAGACTTTGGTTGTGGTATCAAAGCACAATTTCCTTCTGCCACCTTGGCTTCCTGTAAGGACAGCTGGAAATACTCATGTCTTTAACAGCTGCAGCAAGATTCTATGAAGCTCGTGTGTTAAAGCCCTGAGAGAAGAGACTGCAGATACAAACAGGGGCATCCAGTTTTCACTGATTTCTGTTGAGTTTAAGCACCCAATTCACTTCTGTATCTTCACAGTAGCATCATTTTAGGGTGGAATTCTGTAGTCAATAGAATTAAAAAAAAAAATAAAGATTGGAGCTTTCCAGAGCACGTCATATGGCTTGGACCATAAAAAGAACTGATGCTCCCCAAGGGAAGCAGGACTCTTGAACTGAAGGAGTTGGCAGGTTTGAAAGTTTTTAAGTTTATTTGCTTATTTAAAGAGTCACAACAAGTCTGCCCTGAAACAATTTCTGTTCCAGTTTATGCTCTGGATTGCACATTCTATTTGTCAGAGAGATTATTTCAGAGACAAATTTTTTAAAGTAGCTACTGAAAGCATGCTGCTTTCTGAAAATAGCTTTTTGCTGAGTAAGCTAGAACCACTGCCTGGAAGTTGAAATCTGAAAAAAAAAAAAAAACCTAGAAAAAACACATACTTTGTTTGGGGTTTGGTTTTATTGTTGGTTCTTGGTTTTGGTTTGTTGTTGTTTTTTTTTTAATAATGAGATTGACTATCAGTTAGAACAAACTCCTAAAGGAAAATTCTGTCTCCTGAAACTTTTCAAATCAAAATGTGATCCTGTTTTGGAAGTTGTAGTTAAACTCAAGAATTTAGTGCTCAGGCTACTGATTAAAACTTTTGGAACTCTACTGTAGAGGATGTTAGTGTAGATGGATCTAATTATTGGCTCTTTCTGACCTCAATATCTGTAGACTGTGTAGTGGAGAGCAAGAGTAGATTGTGCTAGCAAGGACTAGACAAGTAGATTGGGTAAATAAAGAGTGTGTATTGATTGCTGGGGAAGAGGAAGTGTCGTGGCTTTAGTATTGTCTTTATTGCGGTAAATTGATTTACTGGAGGAGAGGGAGAAGTTAATTCTTCATATCAATCATCCTGTGTTCCAAGGCCCAAAAATTAATGCGAACCACTTTCTCTGTAAAGGTGTTTTGCGTTTTGTTAATGTAAAGGAATGTTTCTTTGGTTATTGTGCTGTTTCTTCTCATGTTTTTTGCTTTGGGGTTTTTTTTTGTTAGTTTATCTTTTTTTTTTTTTTTTTAAGTGCTAGAGAGATGAGAGAGCTATTTATGCACACTTTAATTCCTGATTTTGTGTTATAAGCAGGTTAGGATTTGACTATGGCAGTGCGGTTCCTGCAGAAGACATCTGTGTGGTTAAAGAAGCACAAGATCACTGTGTTGGCCGTTTCTTGCGTGGGACTGTTTGGCACAAACCTTTCCTATCATGTGTTTCCTGAGCAGACGTTCAAACTGTTGCACGAGTGCTGGTCAGAGGGGCAGCCAGCTGAGCTTTCAGAGAGGCTCTGTGGTGTGTTTCAGGATGTCCTTGAAGATACTGCTGTGAAGTCCACTGACTCCTACAGAGCCTTTGCAGCTTCTGGCTTCCACCCTGTGAGTGCTGGAATTCCCTGGCTGCCTGCAGGCTCTTTGGTGGGCATCCCACCTAACTTTGATAGCACAGATGAGGATAAAAAAGGAATAGTCAACCATGTTGTTGTGATCAATGGCAAGGAAGTAGACTGGGAGAGCAGCGAAGGTGTTGCTTTGAGGGAAGCTCTCACGTTTTCACTCCAAGCTCAGAAGTTTGCCATTGCCAGAGAAGTTGTGTATTTGCAGAATGGCAGCCCTTTAAAAAGTGCAGTTGTGGCTCCAACTTGCTTAGCTGGTACATTTCTCTGTACAAGAGGTATAAAGCTCCTTCTGGGTTTATCTCATGGCCCTGTGATACTTCGCAGCCTCTGTAACATCGTAACTGCAGCTGGTGGCCTGCTCTGCTATTGCCTCTCTTGCGAAGCTCTGACCTATCACCTGGACTGCAAGGCTGACAGAAGGGCAGCCATGGTTTCCAAAGACTACGCCAGAGGTGGGGTGGAATTTTATGATAAAATCTTGTCCCGCAACAGGATTCTTCGTGGTCTGATGGGCACAGAAGGGATGAAAATGTATGCCCCCAGTGGTAACCTTTTCCCAAGGCACTGGTTCAGAATAAAGTATACGCCATACACTTACCGGAGAAATTTGATTGTTAATATTTTAAGAGAGCTCCCGGCATAGGATGGGAATGCTTGAATTTTGAACTTGTGAATTATGTATTTTGAAGCACTGCTGTGCTGCTTCTTTTTTTTTTTTTTTTACTTCTGTATCTTCATTAGAATTTCAGGGTTTGTTTTTGCATATAGTTTGGAAGGAGTTCTTGCACATTCCCTGAATAAAGAATTCTCTTTTAAAATATTCAAGAGTTGCTTCAGAAGTGCTCCGTTCTGTGTGCATCTCAAATCACAAGACTGCTGAGGAGGGGAACTTCTCAGACACTGATATGGAAGTTCTGCTGTGCTGCACTGCCTTCCTGCCAGTTCAGTCTGAAAAATGGAGAGGGGCAGGTCCAATGGAGAGTTTTGGGAGCATAATCATTTAAACTGGGTGTTTGTATGTGTGTTTGCTCTTCCTCCTATGGAACAACACAAAGATGTTTAAAAAAACTGGGCAGCCTATATTATGCAGTTGCATAAATACCAAGGCACAATATTTCTGTTCTGTGTAAGTTTCTTGTGCCACGTAAATTCTTATGCTGCAATCATCAATGCTCAGTAGGACACAATAGTTATGATGCAGCTCATACCAGTACAGATAGATTATTACCAGCACCTGCACCATTTGCTTAAATTTAACTCTGCTCTCTCCAGGACATGGTGACTGCACTGTGTATATCGTGAATGTTTCCCAGGAGTAGTAGTTTGTAAAATGACTGTCAAGGGTTGGTTGTTTTCTCACAAGTAAGATAAGCATGTTCAGGAGAGGTTTTTCTGCTTGCTTTGGTATAGGTTTTGTTTAATTAAGAAATACATGTAGATGTATGTCACCTCTTATATCAAAGAAGGCAAGGTACAAGTCTGGCATTTGGTGCAGAAACTGGTGAGGTCTGTGATGAAGATTTGCCAGAGGAAATCATTCCCCTGTTTCAGACTAGCTTAAGATTTTGTCTGGCAGAACCAGGCTTTGCCCAGGATTACTAATCTTCTCGAGAGGTCTTTAGTGTATGGGCAGTAAACTTTCCATTATATCCTCACCTTGAAACTTTTATGTGATTTTCAAGATGATAGTTCTCAAACTTTGTGGTTCCCTCTTTTCTGTGTTTGTATTGCAGCTGTTCCAATAGCCCTCCCAGGTGACATCAGAGCAGTTCTCCTCTTCTCACCTCTGTTGTCATTCCTACCAGAAACTTCTACTGTTTTGTGTCTTCTCAGTCACAGATGTGTGGCTCTCTGAGTGTCCTCTCTGCCCTGGCTTTGTCCTTTCTTCATCTGCTGCAATAAGAACTGTCACACCTGTGTTTGCTCAAAGCATTACTGAGTTCTGTTTTCCTTTTGAATCATGGGGTGACATAAAGTTGATATTCTGGCTGTTGGAGCACTGGTGTTGCTTACATTATGTATAAGATATTTGAGTTTCTGATGAAGTAATCTGTGTTATGTTTCTGGACTATCACCTATCACTTGCACTTGTCTTTGAAGTGTCAAGTCATGAGATGCCTCTAGGTGCTTTTCTGGCTGTAGGGCATAAGGTTATTGTTCTTGTGACCTTTGTGAAAGAGTTTGACAAAATTTCCCAATCTGTGGAATAAAAAGAGACTTTACCTTTCAGCAGGGGTCTTTAAAAACTTTGGGCTAAATTTTATTTGACTTGTCTTCCAGATAAATCCAATGTAAGAGGTCATAGAAGTTTACTGGTAGAGTGATGTCATGACTCAAGACTGAAATCTAACTCCTGGTTTATAAAGCCTATGAGTTCACACTCTTTCAGACAGGTCTGAACTCTATGCAATGTTCTCAGAGAGAACTTGGCCCACTTGGTTTATGTGGTTTAAGGCGCTGCTACTACATAAAGAGTTCGGAGAGGAAACCGAGGCTGCCCTGGAGATTTACAACAAGTAGCAGTTTAAAAGACATTAAGTTAAAGAAATCTAGTTGTGTCTTACTGCTCCTTACTGTTGCTTTTCATCAAGATGCCTGCAGCTACTGCTGTTATTTAACATTCTCACGTTGTTAAGCCCCAGTGATGCTAATGGGTTTTGCAGTTGTGCACTTTGCTTGAGTCTTACAGCTGGATTCTCCAAGAAGCTCCACATATTTATAAATACTGCGTCCCATTTACCCTTCTTTGAACTTGCTGTGGCATATTGGTGTCAGTAAGGAAGGGCTGGCTAGTATTAAGACATATGCCCTTTCTTTCCAAAGAGAGATTCTTGCCAAGGGCTTACAGACCTCCGTCTCTGTATAGTCAAGCTCCTATTCTGTCACCCTCTGTGTAATCTGGAAGCACAGTGCCATACTGTCAATATAAAGGAAATGGGAGTTGAAATCACAACTGCTAAGTAAGATTTCCCTGAACTTTGGGAAGGTGCCAGTTGTCCTGGAAAAGATTTTTATCATGTGTGTTTGTTGCTGGGTAATTATTGCTTGCAAGACCACCCGCTCTTTGGCAAGTAAGAAAAGCACAGCTCAAATACGTGGCCATGACAACACTTTTGCAAAGCCCTTATTATATTGCAAATGTTTTTCTGTAGGTAGAACTATCAAGGAAATCAAATATGAGTTCCACATGCTGGTGATACAAATGGTTTGGGTTTGGGTGCTAGAAGAAAGCACCGCAGAATGAAAGGTGGAAATGTTCCATGCTAAGAATGGTCTGACATGGAAAAGCAAGTTCATTCAGTGGCCAGAAGAGCCCAAGTGAATCAGTTCGTAAATAGTGTCAGTGAATAGCCTTGTAGTCTTCCCCAGCTCTGAAGCTGAAACTCTGAGGACTTTGGAAAACTTGTAGTAGTAACTGGCTTGTCTTGCACTGCTCAGATGAGGCAGACTTCATACAAATTTTTGTGTAGAAAAGCAAGAGAGAATGTTAAGCAAATTGCTAGGAAATGTGGATATAAGAAGTCTAAGCCAAGAAACTGCAAAAGCAAAGGTATGAATGAAATAATGAATGAGCTCTCATAAAAATGGATATTGTCTATGAAAATGAAGCTCACTGTCTGGTAAAGTGATTAAAAGATGAAGGAGTATGAGTAGCAAATGACCAAAATGAGTTGCTAGTTTAAATTTGTACAGAATCTAGCTTAAGGAGAGATTTGCTTTACTGGTTTATTTACATTATTATCCTAAATGTTTTAGATAACTGAAAAGAAAATGATCCTTGTAACTTTTTTTTTTATATATAAATGCTATGCTTGCTGCTACGTAAAGCTTTAGTGGGTAATGCTGCAAAGAGATGATGGCCACCTAGATGCTTTGCTCAGAATTCCCACTGGAGTGCAAGAAGCGTGTTCCAAGGTCTGGCTCACATGTTTCTTTCTCTATCCTATAAATTGTGGTTTCTTGTCATGAAGATACCTTGTGCTTGTTTAATGGTCAAAACTGTAAAATTGTCATGAAAGAGGAAGACTTGAGAGCTAGACAGTTTTCTTGAAGACAAACAAGCTGTGGAAGTCATCTGATTTACAGCAATTTCTGAATCAGCTACTATGGGTGTCTGGCTTCTCTTGCATTTTACAGGAAGCAGGAGCTTCAGAGGTGGCTTCCAAGAGGGAAATCTCCACTCAGGTGGCATGTGAGTAAAGAACGTCACCCGTGGTGTTGCCCAGAGGGGCTCAGTTGAAGTGTAGTGGTCCTTTATAATAAACAGCCCTTTTTATTACAGTAGAGCACTGCTTTTGCCCCTTTTCACATTAAAGTGGTTTCCAGACCGTGACAGGTAAGGTGGTGAGAGCGCTGACTGCGGAGCTGTGGAGCCTTTGGCCCTGCAGGGTAAGCTGCTGGTGTTGGGAGAGGTGATGCTGGGAAAGGAGCCTGCTGCTGTCGATTTGCCCTTGGCCATAGCAGCTGTGAAACAACCACGGTGACAAAGTGTGGCTTGGCTGGGAGTGAATTAAAATGTATGAATCAAATCATCATGACTGAATCACAGGCAACTTTCACTAACGGAACAAATGCCTGGAATCCATCCTGGAGTGAGTACTGCTGTATGCAGCCATTGTGGGCATCAAGGCAACTGTAGGCATCTCCACTACGTGGAAATGCAGTTCCTGGCAAGCTGCAGACACTGAGACAAGTATGTGGGTCATATCCTGCAACTTTTACTGCTTGTGTTCATTAAAAGCTTCATGTAGCAGCTGTGATTACATTAATACTAAAATTATTAACTTGCAGGCAACCTGCAAGTTGGTTGGTTTGGTTTGCAACTCAATGCAAAACGTGCATCCAGTTCCTCTTTGATTTAATTCATCTCAGCTGGAAGTGTATATTATTGAAAGGGAGAATGCACGACAAGGCAGAGGAATGTGATGTAGGAAGACATAATTAAGATCTCAGAATAAGGAGAACACCTTCAGGTGTTGTTATCAAAAGTTTGGTTGTTATCAAAACCAGACTTAAGAACAGAAGAACAATGTAACTATTCTCTAGGAATTGGTATGTTATTAAATCTGAAGGAGCTGAAAAATGGCTTATTGATGTTTTGCTGGGCATCTTTTTCACTGGGAATATATTGGTTTGTTAAGCTGAAGTGAGTATATTCAAGCTGCTCAAACTCCCAAATCCATAAAGTGGAGAAAATTACTGAAATTTGGCTAGAAACCATTCTGTCTTTCCCATCTGGAAAAGTACCAGCCAAACTCTTAAGCTTCATAGCCAGAAATGATCACTGAAATGTCTCTGCAGTTACTCTCCTCAGTCAGACCAAGTTTGCCAAAATCTATCCTAGTCTTGAATCTCGAGAGAAAGAGTGCTTATAAAAACTCAGTTTGTGCCCCAAAATGCTCTTTAGAAAACACAGCCAGCACAGGTGTATGGTTTTTTTGCCCCCCACTGTAGTTTTTCTGTATTTACTGCATGAAGCATTTGTGGTGCTCTGTCCTTGTGCTGTACTTACTGTAATGTGACCTCTGCCTAATAGTGTAACAACAAGCTCCCTGTATATGGCAGTGATTAAGTATATCTGGCCTAAGTTTTGAAAAAATAATTGTCCCCCAAATCATGCTTCCTAGAGAACTTCCTTTTAATTTATTTTTTTCCCATGGCTCAACTTCCATCATCTAGAAAGTTGGTCCCTTTTCCAGTCCTGATCTGGTTACTCCGGATCAGTAGCTATTTTGGTCTGCAGGAGCATTACTGTGTTAATGTAGTCAAGGTGTTAACAGCTTCTTTCAATATAAATGAGCAACAGGTGAATCTGTGTCCTC